TGTCTTCCCCGGCCCCTGGTCGGAGTACCGCCGGGGCCCTCGGGAGAAGTCGCAGCCCCCACGCCCTGCCTGAGCAGGGCACCCACCGGGCAGGCTGCTGCACAGCTCGGGGAGGCGCTTTGGGGGCCGCAGCTGGCTGCGGTGTTAAGCCGCCCCTTCGCCTGCAAGCCTGCTGCTTCACTAGTGGCGAGCACCAAGCAGAAAGAGAGAAGGTGAACTTATGCTTCAGGCGCTGGACAAGACCTCCTTAAATCCTCCCGTGACCTTTAGAGAGCCCCTGAATCTCCCTGACTGTTTCCCCTCTCAAAGGAAAAACCGGACCAAGGCAATGATGAGAACTGCCAGGAATATGCTTAGGGCAGATCTGCTACCAGCTGCTTGGATGCATTCCCCTCAGGAATCTGTAAGATCTCCTTTCACGGTGGGCAAGTTTTTGGGCCCCGTGAGGGGATTTGTTTTCTAAAAAGCACAGTTTCTGTGTTCCTTCCACTTGCTGTTTAGGCAAGGGGAATCACTGAGCCTTCACGCTCACTTCCAGCACTGCAGATCATGGCCTTTTTTTCCTCAGCTTGTGCTATTTTTCCTCTAGTTTTCAAGAGGTCTTGGGACTTCAGCTTGCTGTACCTTCCTTCACTCCTCACGCCCTTAAGCCTCAAAAACTTCCTGCATTAGGCAAACAGCTAGAATGAAATTTCTCCTTGTAGTTGTCCATCGTTGCAGGCACCCGTTTTCATACTACATAACAACCACTGTTGCTCACGGGCCTGAAGTCATAAAACAAAGGACACTTCAGAAAGCTGGTGAATGCCAACTTTCTTCTTCAACATCCCAAGACAAATTACTTCTTGACTCGGATTCAGTAGGTCTGCGTGATATAAACATGACTTCAGTCTCAATGCTTCATGTCTTACATGTCTTCCGGCACCTCCGGGTGCTCTAGGCACGTGCTGACTTACTGCAGTTTTCCTGCAAGCCAGTGCTAACTTTGCTGCTCCAAAACCTGCCTTTCCCACTAGCAAGATTCTTGGTTCCAGCTGGCACTTTTAATAGGCCTTTTATTCAAGTGGCACCGCGAACAGCATGGCCCAACATTGCATACCAGTGACTGAACAGCACCTGCTAGGGTCTTCTACTGGGCAGCCCGGTCACAGCTTCTGTTATACATACCCATTTTATCTGTTCCTTACAGGTCATACATCACCTTATTTGCAATTATCTTCTGTCAAGCATTTTTAATAGATTACCTCTCTCCATACACCAGGCACTCACACTGGTTCTGGATTTTTTTTTTTTTAAATGATCTCTTTGTACAGTTCACGGGCTACATGTCCTTATCCACACCTGTTTCACACAGATGTTCATTACCTTATTGCCATCTTGCCTCAAACATCATGTTTACACACCCAATCACCTAATACTGTGGTACTGCCTTAGTAGTTTGTTTTTTATTTTACAGATTTGCATAACATTACTTGAGCTGTGCTGTACAAAACGCGGCAGAATTACATCTCAGACCCGAGGCAAGCAAATTATTACTGACTGCCAACGAGGAAAACAAGCACCCACTGGAGAAAAGGGTCACTGGAGCTCTGGCTTTTGCATGTACTTTACAACAAGGGATGAAGATCCTGAGGTTTCAAAAAATTAAGACAACTTCAATGAGAATCCATAAGTACAGTGAGAATTCAATTGTCACTTCACACAAAGCTTAGCCACACTCGCTGCTCTCCCAGTCCTTGCACGCTATGAGGCGATTTGGGATATGTGGCTAACAGCTGCTCGCAGAAGTCACCAGCAGGAGATACTCACACCCTCAACCCACCTGGCGAGTCTCGCTGCTCCTTGCTGACTTAGGCATTTGCCAGCATGGTTTGGAGGCATCAAAACAAGCTGTTTGTTGGCGCCCACCTTGGGAGAAAATTAACAACTTCTCCGAGCTCCGCGTTACAACGCAAACTCTGTCTCCTTCCAAAGCGACAAATATTTTGAACTTGGATCTCTAGTTACATGGCACAGTACTCTCTCTTGTCGTTTCTGTAATGGCTAATCCAGGCTTGCCGAGAGGTGAAACAGGGCAGAATTCACAGGGGAGGGGGAGCCTCCGCCGAGAGCCTCCGCCGAGGTTTTCTGCCCGTAGAAGTTTACCAGAGAGGGAAGAGGGCAGGCAAAGTTGGAAACAGGCTGCCAAAGGCAGTGCCGCCATGGGGCTTCCCTGGCGGGAGCTTCCCGCTGTCGCATTGCAACCGTGACATTTACAGCGCGGCCTCCAAACCCAAGTGGCAGGGGGCCCGCAGCCCCCCTGCCTCTTCCCAAGGAAGCAGCTGATAGCTGCAGAGGAGCTAGGCTGGCCCAGCTTTTATTCCACCCGGAAGGGCACATTGCACCCTTTCTCCTCCTCTTTTACAGGGAGCAGGAAGCAGGGAAAGGGAGGGTAATTTTTCCCTTGCCAGGTCTTACAGACCCCTCTGGTTGGTTGCATGTTATCACAACTAGTAATAGCACAAGAAATACATCTATGACATAACAGGCTGTGCGAGATGGAGTCACAGTTCTTATCCAGCCTGCAGGTTCCCTGTGCCTGCCACAAGCCATTACCTTTCTTGCCACTCAGGAGCTGCTCAGCAGTTCTGGACACACGGTCCCATGTCACAGAGCTGAAAAGAAATTTTCCCCAGTACATGGGGCCTATAAGGACTGCTGGTAAGAAGCGGCGGTTGGACAATTTCAGAGCTTGCAAAGAAAGTGTTTTCTTATGCTAGATCCTGGAGGGTTGCAGTTTTTTCTTCTCTTCCTGTAGGAGCCTGATCCTTTCATTCTTTAGAGTCCACTTCTTTTATTTGAGATCTATCAGCTTTCTTATTTTACTTTTATGTCCTCCTCCTTCCCTGCTTGGAGGTCCTCATCTTTGACTGGATCCAAAATGCAGGGAGGCTCTAGGCCTTACATATGCCCGCTACAAAGCGCAAAAGCCATATATCAGATGTCTGTTTTCTTACAGCTGCCTCAGAGCACCATACAAAGGGAGTCCACGTCAGTCCTCTTCTACAGCTGGGTAAGGCCGAGACGCGGGACACAACTGCTCCAAAGGCACTGCAGCCCGAAGAGCCAGCACCTCCCAAATCTCCATCTAATGCTGCCCTGCTGTTACACCCATTAGTGCAACCACAGTGCACACTTCGGAATTTACCACCTGCAGTTAATACTGTATTTTAGAAAAAAATTCAGAGCAACGCTGGTGATGGAAATTTAAGATCTGTCACCATGGTCAGTTGGCCGGAAGGCAAAAGTTAGCACTGCCAAGCACTTGTTTTCAGCCAAGTTTAGTTCTTGGAATGAACTTGTGTGCTTGGATCAAGCTTTTATTTGTTAGTAAGCAGCAACTAGGTCCAGGAGAGATCAAATGACTGAGAAGTCTTAACTGTTTACTAACTAACCTGGATGATCACTCATGAAGTCAGAACATTTGCCAAGGTATACTATTTACCTGCTTTGCAGAAATCTCCACAGGAGAAGGTGGCATGAGGGTGTTAAACAGCAGGCTTATACCTGTTGATTAATTCAGATATTATATCAAGTATAACATACATTGCTGTCACAGATGTGAAGGCAGAACAGATTAGGAATCAAATAGGGAACTTCCAAAAATGACTGCACTTAATTACCATGAAGTCATATTGAAGCGTTTAGCCTTAGAAATCCAATTTCTCTCACAGAACTAGCAAAGGTACCCTCACTGCTTATTAAAACTTGTTAGGCAGACTTTTTTTGAGCATCATTTCTTATATGCTGGCCGTGGTCTTAAGAAAATGTATCTTACCTAAGAATGTAGTGCTATCAGAAATCAAATACAATGTTATGTCACCCATCCCAGTGAAGCCAGGCTTTCAGAGTTTCACAGATATCCCTCACACCACCCCATGGGCACCTCCAACTTATTTATTATCCTCAGAGCACCTTTGAGAGCTACAGTTCCTGCCATCCTAAGCAGTCTCAGTATGCTTGAGCGTCTAGCCTGTGCCTTTCCAGTTGCGTGCTCTCTACGTTTCTAGCAGCAGGGGAACAGGGCACTTCAGAAAGAGCAAACATTCTTCAGTGGAGCGTAGCCAAGGCATTTTTCATTAATGTCTTACTTTTCTGCTCTTTGTACCCCATGTGACCTGGATTTCCATTTTGCCTGCCTCGGCAAGAAAGAGTATCGATATGTTTAATGGCATTTGCAAAATTACAGCCACAATGTTCTAAGGTTACAGGGGGGCCAAGACTTCAGGGAGAGGCAGCATCTTATATTCAAGTAAATGATCCAGCAACAATGCTTTTAGCATTTAGAGCTTTCTGGTACACAAGTCCTTCAGGCCCAAATCAGAAGCAGACTTCCAATTAATTGCAGTTTGGGACGACTGCTCTGAACTTAGTTCAGTTAGGTTCAATCAGACTATTTGAGAGAAGTTTGTTTTCTATATTACCTGTTTGTAACAATTGTAAACTACTACTTTACTTACGGACATTACACAGCTTATCTGGCATTTTGCCTCTGTGCTTTAAGCCAGGAGGAGCTGTTGCAGAAAGCAACAGGAATAATCAGAACTGGCACAGGAAGGCCCTACCCACACCCA